AAGCAAGTAATAGATAATGTTGGGTACCTACTTATATATACTTCTGGCATTGTGAACTAAAATGCATTTTGGGCTCCGAAGAAACTTTTTTCTGTAGATCTTTCATTTTTTCTGTCAATTGTTAGCTTGAGCATTACCTATTACCGGTACGTAATATTTTTGTTTTTTTTTGTACAATTTGTTGCTTCACCTGCGATGGGTACCTCTAAATATCGAAAGATGGCACAACTATTGTACAATTGGACCCGTCCACAAGAGCCCCTTAGGCTACCAGCGAATAGGTAGAGAAAGATGAGTTAAAAGTTCGACACCAAGTCCCAAGATGGGTAACAAAATTCAGCTTTTAATTATGTTTACGAAAACCTAAGGATATAATATTATGTTAGTATTTTTTGTAGAAAAAGTATTAGGTAATTAAAACGGTCGTTTAATGCTAAAACAATTGACACCGGTCCTACCAAACGTCGCTCTTTGAATTCTCAATTAAACTCGATGTTGATGTCAGCGTATGGTATTTAGGTGCATGTGGAATCGGGGTTCCCCAAGGTGCGTGGCCAGAATACACGAGAACTATCAATTATTAAAACGCGTTTACGTGACATACTGCGGTGCTTTGTCACGGAGCGGATGTCAAAACTGTTAGTGGATTACCGAATTGCCTAGTAATAATAGCCGCGATATGGATTGGATAAGCTCTGGGTTTTGCCATTTGCGGACACGCATTCGACGTGCACAGCAAACTGAATGTAACAAGTGTCAAAGTGAAAGAAGATATTTTTCGCGTTTTAGTTACGAGGGCGAAGAAAATTTGTAAATATTAATTATCCTACATTAAAACGAAAATATTTGTCCATTATATAAGTGCAAGTAAATTAATTCACTTTTCGTGAATTTTCCTGTATGAATAACGTGACCATTTTTTTTCGTGTCAAAGCGGGATGCCTACAGAATTTCTTATATAAATAAATAGATTTATAGGGTATGTCGGAGTGAGATGTAATATTTAAGAGCAAAATAAAAAATATGGTTTAAAAAATGACTTGAAATAATTTATTATGCCATCTTACTCTCATTGACATCTTAAGTCTTACACTAACGTGCCCTTAAAATAATATTTATAAATAATTTCGCAATAAATAACTACTTTTCTACAGCAAAATTAAGAGTTACTTTAGTATTTATTTTGTAATACAATAAGGATTTAGGATAGGGATAAGTAAGTATTCAGCAAGCTTCTAATAAACACATGCACAACAGATAAATGAAAGCGGGACATTTTTGCGCTTTTTGGGGACAGCGGGACGGACAGCCTGAAAGCGGGACAATTCCGCCCAAAGCGGGACGTATGGTCACGTTATGTATGAAACAACTTTTTCTAAAGTATTTTTAGTGACTTTTCGTTCTTTATTCCGTTTAAGAGGGTGAATTTTATTTAAAACTCATCATACGTGACTCAGAAATATTAATAAATAAATAAATATTTACTAACAATCACGCCACGTTAACTGGTTCCGTGATAAGTTCGTAAAGAACTTGTGTTACAGGTACCAGATAACGGATATAATTGTAAGATTTTTATTATACACATACATATATTTAATATACATCCATAACCCTGGAAAAGACATTTATATTTATCATACAAATATCTTCCCTTGGCGGGATTCGAACCCGCTACCCCCTTGTGTAGTGACCATGTCACTTACCACTACACCAGACGGCCGTTTAATTGTGTAAGTGTTGTATTATATTATTATACAACACTTATTTTTGTCGCTGTAAAATTTTTAACTGTAGGCGATTCGATTATAATTTTTAACTGTAGGCGATTCGATTAGTAAATCTGTATTCCATAGTACCTTTAGAATTATTACTTGACATTTCGCTTTGTTTTTTTTTTTTTTGATTTTTTTTATTTCATGGAAACCTAACAACGCGGGAATATGCGCGCTGCGTCTCACAGAGTAAGCTTTATAGCTAAGCGTTTCGGCGTTTACTCGGGCAGAATAAACGAGTAGTAGCGACTCCGAGCACCCGGCCGAGTACCAGGAAACGTTTGAATGTAATGGTTAATAATTCCAGTTAGCATGTAGGTACGTACCGGCCGTTTGGGTTTCTCTAAATCTGAGTGCGTGAGACGCAAGCGCCATCGGCCTTTCTTATATCCTAACAACAATGCTTATTTGATATTCGAAACCGCGTTATACGTATCTGTCAATACTTTTTATTGTATGACGACAGCATTTTATAACGGATCCTTCTGTGTATATGTGTGTATTACAAACCTTTTCTGTCATTGAAATTTTAATATCGTCCTGCTCATCAAATTCAACAATGGGTTAGGGCTGTGTGCCAATTTTACGCGTAATTCGTATGTCATAAATCGAAATTTAAAATCAGTTAATGTCAACTGGTCAACTATTTTACTGGTGGTAGGACCTCTTGTGAGTCCGCACGGGTAGGTACCACCACCCCGCTTATCTCTGCCGTGAAGCAGTAATGCGTTTCGGTTTGAAGGGTGGGGCAGCCGTTGTGACTATACTGAGACCTTAGAACTTATATCTCAGGGTGTGGGGCGCATTTACGTTTTAGATTTCTATGGGCTTCAGTAACACCAGGTGGGCTGTGAGCTCGTCAACGCGTCTAAGCAATAAAATAAAAAAACTATTAGTACATATCTAAGTTTCATTTTATTTCAGTAAATTGTCTCGAAAATCCAATTCTCTAGCGAATTTATGAATTCATGAAATAAATATTGGATTAATAAATATATATGATATTATGAACCAATAATGCCGCCTCTATGCTATTATCCTACTTAGTGATTGATTAACGAAGAGTCTAAACAAGTACTGAGACTACAAACTTTAGCAATCGATACCGTTTATGTTCTACTAGCGACCCCCGCCCTCGCTTCGCTTCGGAAACTGTAATTTATTATTGATTTTTACACTATTTAATGGATGTTATTATACATATAAACCTTCCTCTTCAATCACTTTGTCTATTAAAAAAAATCGCATCAAAATCCGTTGCGTAGTTTTAAAGATTAAAGCATAATACATAGAGGGATATGGGGACAGAGAAAGCGAATTTGTTTTTTACTATGTAGAGCAGTGATTCTCAACCTTTTTTTTGTTGCGGCACATATTTAACGATTTCAAAATCTGGCGGCACACACAAAAAAAAAAAGAAAAATTATTTACTTACAATTTACAACACACTGCATAAATAGTTAATCAAACAATTTTTATATACAAATTAAACTAAAATATACTATATATTTTTTTGTGGATTTAAATATATATTCATGTTTAAAATATTTTTCTTTTCAAATGATATAATTTAATAATATTAACATTATTATATATTCGCAAAATTTGGCGGCACACAAAAATGCCGCGGAACAGTGGTTGAGAATCACTGATGTAGAGCATCCGCTAGGACGTTTTTTTTTTCTAAATTTCATCCTTAAGTGATTAAAATAAGGAATGAACGTTTGTATGGCGATCCGTCAGTTTCGAAACAAGAACCAAGCAAATTCATATACCCGTTTCTGTCTTAAAGATATTTCGCACACTTAGATATTTCGGAGTTTTACAAAATTTGTCCTCTGTGGGGTTGTAAGTTATATGGGAAGGTTTGTTTTTTTCAATGAAGAAGCACTTTATTCAATATTAGAGCTTATATAAATTTAGGGGAAATTGTTATAAATAAATTTACTGTAATGTACTACTTTCAGCATGATAAGAAATCGTGGCCCAAAAGATAAGGTGCCCAGTGTACAAGTATCCAGGGATGCGACTGTGACGCCGTTCAAATCATATTGGTCGTCGCCAATTTTAAAAAAAATATGGAAATTTGTACCTAACACATATCCACGAAAGAATTATATTTCGTGTAATAAATTGAAGTCGTCGTGGCCTAAAGGATAAGACGCCCGGTGCATTCGTATGTAGCGATACACCGGTGTTCGAATCCCGCCGGCGGGTACCTACCAATTTTTTTCAATGAAATACGTACTTAACAAATGGTCACGATTGATTTCCACAGTGAAGGAATAAGGTGGGTGGCGGCATTTACGTTGTAGATGTCTATGGGCTCGGGTAACCACTTAATATCAGGAGGGCCGTCTACCCATCTAAGCAAAAAAAAATATTACCCGCAAAATGATTAAATTTGCGCAACCACTATCGGTTAGATGTACTGTAAGCCTGCACGGATATGTAGCACCACCCGTATATTTCTTCCGCGAAGCATTTGCAACTAGGTTCCTCATGTCTCAAGGCGGATGGTGGTATTGGAGCTAGGATGCACTTAATACTAAGAGCGTATTCACCGACAAATACAATATAAATTATCCCGATTTACCCATCTGAAGTCCCGCCTTCGCATTTATATTGTACATACATATATACACAATTAAATGTAAAACTTAAAATTTTGGTACACGAATACGTTAAAAGGTGAAAAATTAGTAATAATCGTGTAATGATCGACGGAACAAAAAACATAGATTCCGTATGTATAAATGAAACTTAGCTTCAATTCCCCTCCTGGCTGGGTCCTTGCTCGCTCACCTGTCCTGGTGAAACTGGAAAGGCCTCCGGGCCACAAGCGATCCTTCAATCATAAAAAAAATTCGTCGTCTTTGGTATGATAATCATGTGCTTTATCAGTCGCATCTGTATTCTCCGGTGGTAGATTCTGCGAAGCACGGCTCTTGCTAGGGTTCGTGTTAGCATCGTCGTCAGGTTTGAGCCCCGTGAGCTCACCTACTAGCCACGGTTACGCTGGAATAGCCGCTCCAGGCTACCAGCTTAGGTAGGAAAAAAAAAAAAACTGTATTCAAGTCCTCCGAACGACACGGAGGACTTAACTTTGATTATGTGGTAATTCTACAGTTTCTATCAGAATTTTGTTAGGTTCATCGATGATGGGTTCATACAAACGTCATGCGATAGTTTTGGAATTTAGGCTAACCGAATGCTTTGTTGCAGGGGAAATGGCAAACTCGCGACTTGGGGCTGCATCGTCGGTTTCGTTGTGATGATGTGCTTAGATGTCGGTCTCGGGTAATGTTGCTTCCTAGGACCCGGACTCCGTGCCTTCCGTTCGACGACCCACCAGACAAAAAAACGTTTAACCACGTACCTACGCGTTTTAAATCTGTAAATTGATTTTAATATAGCGATGCAAAAATTATGTATGTTTTTTTTACTAGTATTGTAGCAGGGCCGTTTTAATGAAAACAAATGTTAAGTATTTCCGCTTCTCTATTCAAACAAAGGTTGTTCATGTATACATACAGGGTGTTGTTCAGTTAAGTATTAACTATAAGGTAGAATTCGAATGACAACTGATTATAATTGCGTTCCATTGCGTGCTATAGAAAAATATTAGTAAATAACACTTTGTCTATTGTAAGAATGTTTTCACTCGCATATCGTGTTAGGAGTAACTAACTCCACCATTTGTCGTTTAGAGTTCGCTTTCAATACACCCTGTATGTTTTATATATCTTAGCGAATTTTTTATATTTCGTTTTTTTTTCCGTTTAAATAATAAACTAATTTTGAAAGTTCTATCTATCTATCTCTAGAATTATTTACCACTGTCCTAAATTTGGTAGTTCTTAGGTGTACTTTGCGATCAGTACTTAAATTTATTAACAAAAAATCGAGAGGCGTACTTTCTTTTCTCGGTATCTTAGAGGAAATCTTTGCTTTTTTCAACGTTAACCTTTTCAAATTTTCTTGTTCAAGCTTACCTTTCAGTCAGCATTGCTTCACTTCGCTAATAACATTCGTAATGTTTAATTTAAAGCAATATCTTTCGCTGTCTTATGGTTTTCTTTAGTTCGAGAGCATTTGATTTAAATTCTTGTATAACTTTTACAATATAAAGTTCATCTCTATTGCAATCGCTTTAAGCGCCTTTCTTGAATCGACAATTCGTAAACTAAGTCTAAGCCGTTTATAATCTTGCAAACAACTGAAATGAAACATTTAGAAATAGCGTTATGTTTGTTGAAATATTATCGTAACTGCGACAAAATGCGTTTCTAACGCAGAAACGTTTTGGCAGTATCTAGAAGTTCAATTATTTTTTTTATAAATGCAACAAAATTGTATTGCTTAGATGGATAAACTTAGAATTTTTTATTTATTCATAATATACAATTCATATCATGGTACAGGATTCTAACGGCTTTGAGTATGTCTCTAAAAAGGAATGAACTTCTTTTCTTAATTATATTATCCAAAACAATATTATTTGTTCAAAGAAATAATGTGTGTTAGGAGAAACATCATTGTCTCAAGAACTTTCATTAGGTTGGATGTAGTGACCATATCAATTTTACTTAAAATACAAATACATTCCAGTTAAACTCGATCCATAACACGAGACAAAATTTCTTTCAGATCAATGACACATTTATTAAAACTATTATACATTTACTTAGTGCAACATAAAGCACCGATAGAATGCCACAGATATATGAAATTTTAAAGTAATTTTGATGCACTTGTATAATCTGTACAAGCTCGCCCGATGTGTAATTTAAATGACCTAAAGGTCTCTGTTACCAGGGCATAAAAAAAAAGTAATTTAACCATAATTTCCTTCTTTTTTTTTCGTACACTAAATCTCAAATAAGTCATCGGACGAAAGATTAAAGTTAAATAATGGTAATATGTAATTTTGCAACGTGCACTATCATAGTAAATTTCTGCATTTCGTGCCAAAATTTCTCCTTATAAACATATTTTATTAATGTCGACTCTTGATCCTATAAACGTTATATGAGATTTCCGTTAACACCGTTATAACGGTTAATATTAATAGCGGTTTTTTTTTTCACGAAGACAATGTAACAGTTCAGTACTAAGGTGCAATATGTACAGAAACTGTGCCAAATGACACAGTATTCATTGTTCTAATAAAAAGTCTTAGTAGTGATTAAACAAAATGACACAAACCAAAAAGACAAATACTATTTTAAGAAAATTTCATAATCCATGCTATTATTGGCACAGTGATATAAAAATTCAGGAATGTATAATAAATAGTCTGTTCCAATATAAATGGTAGATTATTTTATTTTAAATGGCAACACCGAGTTTTGACTAAATCTTGACGGGTATTGCTTATCGCTATGAGATTCGTATTTATTGTAAGATTTCAATAAACAAACAGGAAAATTGCGACTGTCGACATATGTACCTAATTTGCAGTACTAATAATTATACTCCAATGCCAATTATTGTATGGTTTACCCCGAAATCGTTTTGTTTTAGGTTCTCAGAAACAAGTTCCATATCAGATACGAGTTCAATTAGGTTGAATCTTCTTTCGTTAATTTATTATTTAGTATTAAGATGATAATGTCAATTTTATTATGATATGTAACTTAATGAATTTATAATTATATGTATTAATTGGGTCGCCCTTTTAGTTTTTTTTAGCGTTTAAACCAAACAAGATTTAGTTGTAGATGAACGTAATTTTCAAACTGCTAGTTACACGGTTCAATTTGTATTGTAAGTATGAAAATGACGAGGAAATATACTTAATACCTAACTATATATTTAACAAGACAATAAAAATCTTATCTATTAACATTAATTACTTATAAAATTATTAATTCTAAACACTAAATAATTATTATAATTTGTTTTAAAATTTTCGGTACTCCCATCTGCAAATAATACAATGGGATAATGTATTACATACATTTGCCGAGTCGTTGCCGTAAATCAAAAACAAAGGTCAAATATGTTTTCCCTGTGGATTAGCGCACTTTACCATTTTGAATTTCCTTTCATTTAAAATTATCATAAATTCCGGTATTTCGTTTTTCCTCGAAAATGGCTTCATGCTTTTTTAAAGATAATTTAATTATTTGCTTAAAATATTTTCAAGAAATTTTATGTTTCAATTTAACATGGCTGTTTTAAATTATGTATCTTGTCCAAAACGGAACTAACTGTTGGCTGACAATAACATCAAACATGCTTTTTAAAAAGTTTTAGATGATATTGCCATTATCAAAATACATAGTTTATAAATTGATTCGAAATCAGCTATGGTTCGATTAGATAAGTTTTAAGACTGTTAAATATGCCATGTGCAAATGCATTTATTGTTAAATTTATAGAAAATTGACGTTTTATGTTTTGCAAACTTCTAAACACTCGCACATACGTACATACATACATATGTTTCATCCGATATAGAGCAGACGCGCATGTGTTTTTATTCTTTGAACAGTTATTAGGTAAATTTGAATAATAAATTATTGGATAATACATTTATTTAGAATGATTAGTTGTCGTTAATGTTACCAATAAACTATTAAGCATTTACCTACGTACATCGTACCCTGCGATAGTTCAAAGCTCAATATTAGTTTTAATTACGAATTTATTGTAATTATATGTTGTATGTAGTATAAGGTATTTTTGTTTTTAATAAAAAAAAAAAACTACACAATTCGTTGTTTTATTAAAAAAAAAAAAAAATCCGTTATAATTTTTGAAATGAAAACGTCATTGACTAACCGATGTGCTTTCTCCTTCTTCTTCCTCCCTCCTCCACCTCCTTCCTGCCACCCTCGTAGATACAAAACGATATACTTATATACTTACTACGAAAAAAAAACCCAACCAGATCTGAAATCGGCCAAAACAAGCGAAGTCTATTGAATATTGACGTCACTGTTCACATCCGCAATACAAATACTAACTATAACAAAGTTTGCACCGTGAAAGAGGAATGGGAGAGCGAGTATTTTTATAGGAAAACCTTGTGTCTGGCTTTAATCCCTAGAATATCAATTGTAGGTTATTTGGAGCGATCGAGACGAATCCTGCCATATTATATCCTTATTTTGTACTTCCATACATTGTTAAATCGAGCATCCGACTGTACACTAAATAAACTAATAGCTGTGTTATGTGCTGTACGAGCAGTCTGACACCACCACCTGACAGAGAGGACCAATGGCACCTCAGTGAAGACCTGGTCGCCGTCTGCCTTGCTACGAAAATAAATTATATAAGAAAAGATCTTACTTAGGTTTAAATCTCGACAAAATCAACTCCATACATTCTTCATATATTTTCAAATCATCTTGTATCCATATGTTCAATAATGTTAGGGTAATCACCTCTAAGGTGGCAACACTGAGTTGCCAACTAAACGCAATAAGATCGCACTGTATTTAATTCGTTTTAGCGCTTAGCAACAAACACATTTAGGTTCGATGGCGGTTTACTAAACAAAAATAGTAGGAAGGAAGGAAACGGTTAACTATTACCTCTTATCGTCTTCACTGGCTGATCGCTTGTGACGCCCGGCCTCAAAGTACGCTTTTTATAACAAGTATTTTTCCTCATAGTATGATTGTACGTTGTATATGAAACGGGAACGCCGATAAACGGGGCCCAAACGGGGCGTTCACAGACCAATGGATTCGTGTTAGACTGAAAATGCGATGATCGAATCTGATCGGATATTATAGCTTTGTGTTCGTAATTTATAGGGACTTTTTTTTTTTTTATTGCTTAGATGGGTGGACGAGCTCACAGCCCACCTGGTGTTAAGTGGTTACTGGAGCCCATGGACATCTACAACGTAATTGCGCCACCCACCTTGAGATACAAGTTCTAAGATCTCAGTATAGTTACAACGGCTGCCCCACCCTTCAAACCGAAACGCATTACTGCTTCACGGCAAAAATAGGCAGGGCGGTGGTACCTGCCCGCGCGGACTCACAAGAGGTCCTACCACCATTAAAAAGGCGGTAGTAGGTCGCTGTAAGTAAGTAAGGTCGTTGTAAAGGATACGAAAATCAACTTTAAACTCTAGGAAATAACTGCCACTAGTGGGATGACTGTTTGAACTACTTAGTTTTATTTTACGGTAAACATATAGTTAACATTTACGAATAACAACCTTAATGCTAAGACTTTGAGGTTATTTCTCATGACTGGCACTATTTTTCGGTGTTAAATGACTCTTGTACCGCTTAATACCAGATGGACGACCTCTTACGACCATACGTAAGGGCTTAGAACTCGCCCTAAAATAGGTATTATAGGAAGATGGAGATAGAAAAATTAGGTCAAGACAACAATTCTGCGGAACTGAGGACTACGAGAATTTAGTAATTAGTTGAACAAGAACAGGGTCATCCGAATCTACAGATTTACATTCGCACCGACTAAGAACACTTAAGAGATCTTGCCCTTAAATTACTGTTACAAAAAGTCTTAGGCGGTATGTGCAATTACCCAAATTTTGTTTATTGCTCTAGATGACGTGCTAACGGCCACCCGGTGTTAAGTGGTTTCCGGAGACCATGGGCCACACATCGTTTTTTTTTTATATCTCATGTCGAACTCCATTTTTTTTGGTACGACGACCGGTCTCATTCTCCGAAACAAAACGCGCCGTGTGGTCGTCAGTCAGTAAATTATCGATTTCAATTATTATTTAGGAATATTTATGAAATCATTAATAAACGTAATAAATACACGGCAATGTTGACTTACTCGCAGATAAAGTACTCTAAAACAATTAGTGACAAACTTCGTTACGCCTCTTCATCGTATCTGTGGGTCGACAGAGAGATAACGGCGAGCTACATTCTAACATTCTGATAAAAACTTTCTTGTAAGTTCACGTTCGTGTACGCATTAATGCAACATTTGCTTAGCTATTGTGGACTGTTTGCCTTCTCCTGTTCTGTTCCTGCAATAATCGGTAAGTGTAGTATGAACTTAGATTCCCGGTCTAAACCCAATTTCACTCTTCAGGCCACAAGAATAGGCTTGCAACCAAAGAAATACTAATAAAATTACATTTTTTTATTCCTTATACCGAAGCCTATAGATATCAAAAACGTAGCTATCGTCAGCTACATGGAGACTTGAGTTCTATGTCTTAATTCCATAGTAATTTTCCAAATACGAAATAATTTAAAATCGGGTTTTAGGGTTGTCACATTTCCAGCTCATGTCGTGCGTTCCAAAGGACAGGGATACACGGACTGAATAGTGAAATAAAAATATAGTATAGGTACTGGTGGTAGGACTTCTCCGCACGGGTAAGTGCCACCACCCTGCTTATTTCTGCCGTGAAGCAGTAATGCGTTTCGGTTTGAAGGGTGAAGCAGCCGTTGTAACTATAGTAAGATCTTCGAAATCATTTCTTAAGGTGGGTGGCGGCATTTACGTTGTAGATGGGCTATAGTAACCACTTTACACCAGATGGGCCGTGAGCTCGTCCACACGTCTAAGCAATAAAAAATAAAAAACCACTTGTCCATTCGCGAACGCTCCAGCCAAAGAGTAGTGCAAAATTCCGTCGTGGGGTCAAGACTGCTTCTGACTACTGACCCGAAAACTGTCTACTCTAGCTGTCGACAGCCGCAGCGGTGGGTAGAAATTATCCATATAAATAAATGTTCGGGCACATATTCCTGCCACCGAATGCAGGTAAACAAACTCCCAAAAACTCCTCAAAAATTCCCATACATTAAGACTGGAATGCAAACAATGCAATATCGACATATGCAAATAGGTATAATGGATTGTTATGGATTGTCATAGGATTTGGTAATATCTTATTAAATCTTTCAATATTCAAAACTGACTGAAACAAACAAACAATTAGAAACTCCGGAAACGATTAGGTAATTTTTGTAAAAATAGTAGATTTTATTTATCTCAAGAAAAAAAACATATTTGAACAAAAATTTTTGAAATGTTCATACCTGAAACGTGGGTATTGGCCGACACAGATAGCTATCCTGTCTATTTCCTAAGCACCAATGTCTTCCGCTTAGAGCAATGGACACATTGTTCTGTCCAAAATGGCGCTCTCGATTGATCTTCGATCTCATATTCCAAAATGGGTACCAGCTTTCACGTTGCGATGGTTAAGGGTATCCACTTAACCACTTTACCAGGACCAAGTGTCCCGTGAGCTTGACTACCCGTCTACATATCATCATCACACATCATATCACATGTATCAATATCAGTCTGTTCAATGCACAATTATTAATTCGGGGGAATTACCGGGTACAATAATTCCGATTCATCTGTTACAGAAAAACTATTTATTCATTTTAATTTTATTATGTACTTTATCGTAATTCGGAGAATCGGCGCAGGAAACGGTCGCCATACAGAGAGAATTACATATCAAAAAATGTTATGGTTTAGAAACACTAAAAATAGGTTTTAATGAGGACTGTATTGAAAAAAAAAACAGAGACCAGGCTACACTGTAAGTTCCTGTAGATATAATGAAAGTTCACATTTGAAAACGAAAGGTACCTAATATCTAGTTATCACACTCATTTAGGTAGCTAAGCAAGATAGTGGATCCGACCCTAACGGCCTCTCAATATGATATACCAATTGTAATACATATAGGAAAATCGATATTTTCTCCCGACTTTTATTTTGGTAACCCAACGTTATTCCTTCAACATGCTAGTCACAAAAGTTTTAAAAACTTTTAATTAGTTGAAAAACCGAAAGATTTGAAGTGTGCCTAGTTAGTTTATGGTTGCACAACTTAATGCGATTTTTTTTATTTCCTTACCTATTTGCTGGTAGCCTAAAGGGCTATTTCAACTACGCGCGGACGGGTAGATAAGCTCACGGGCCCAACCTGAGAGACTTTGCTAACACTAGCCCAAGCAAGAGCAGCGCTTCGCAGAATCTACCAACGGATCAAAATCGTGACCCACTGAGAAGATCCGGCGAGAAAAACCCGGGCTAAGATGCGAAAACATTGAGCGTTCTATCCATTATAGGCCATGGAACCTTAAAAATAGATCACTAGCTTGTTGATTGTATCTATCTCATTTACGAGTACCTACTAAATAGGTATTATCAAAAGAGGAACATCATATTTAAACGTGAAATTTGATTTATTTATCACTGATTCTATTCTAATGCTGTCATTAAACGGAGATAAAGATAGTTGCGGTACAAGTAAGACAGATAACTGAAACACCGGAATTCGATTTTAGTATTCCCTTAGGTCTAGATTTGGACACAGCTTAATTTATGACCTATTCACGACAAATAGATAGGTACTTTAATATTTCCGTGTTCACCACAGAAGGTCGTAAATTAAAACATACTGTCAATGTTTGACAATTATAAATTTATGAATGAACTTTGAAAATCTTGTCAAGTGTAGAAAAACGCATAGACTTCTTTTTTTAATTAACATTATTCCTTAATATACAGACAGTTACTTGAGATTTTTGAGTTTGTAACCATGTACTAAATAAGTGATAAGCGACAATCATCTGTATTCATTTTTGGTTCTTTCATTTCAAGTTTCGGTTTTCCCGCGTACGACACAAAGTAGTAATTTATTTCTATTACAATCTTACAAACCATATACTCCAAAATAAAAGTGACATCGTTGTTTTTGCTTTATACTTAAGAGGCGAAGC